CACTTGGTAGCCCAGGCTGGCCTCGAACTCACAGAGATCCGCCTGGCTCTGCCTCCCGAGTGCTGGGATTAAAGGCGTGCGCCACCAACGCCCGGCCTTAGCTGATTCTTAAAAGCTATGATTTTCTTTAGGCTTGCTGCTCAATTCTTGATGATTTTATGAATGTGTATCTTAGGTGCAATTTTATACTTACTTTGTTATTTTTGTATTTATTTAAAGTATTAAAATGTGCTATGTAAACTTCATAAATGAAGTTCCATGTGATCTTTATAGCATCTAGGTGAGGTTGGCAATTACACATCTAAGCAATCACCTTTTAGAAATGTCTGTGGATGTGAGAAATGGGCTGTAGAAAATCAGGTGGTGAGACTGAGAACCACAGAGAGCAGTGATAAAAGGAAGCTGCGGTCGGTGAGGGCGGTGTCATTGAGTTATGTGTGGGGCGTACATTTAGACATTTATTAATCAGTATTAATTCTGTGTCCCTAGGCAAGTTCACAGAGATTTTTAGGAGCTGACTGCAGCAACTCAAGTAAAGTTCATTTTTTTTTTTTTTAACTTTTAGCTGGCTGTGAGTAAGGTCAACTAAGCCAGTGTATGGCTAGCAAATGACTTTGCAGGCATGAAAGCATGAGCAGTTCACCTAGCTCGCTACTGTAATTAGTATTAATTGAAGACTGCACTGAGCTAGTAAATGGATCATCACTAAAAGCATTCTTAAAATCACAAAAGATTGTAAATAATATTGGCACTTTGTGTAGGTTATCAGTGTATAGGTACATGATAAGTTTACCTATGAACCTGGATTAACTTTAAGGCAAGAGTCGTATAATGGAACAGTGTGACGTTCGTTCTTCATTATCAACTTGACACACCTGGGAAAATGGAACCTCAAGTTGAGGAATTGCCTCAATCACACTGATTGCTAATTGATGGAGGAGGGTGGAGCTCACTGTAGGCTGGTGGTTCTGGGCTGTGCAGGAAGGCAGGCTGACCGGAAACAGGAAGCGAGCCTGTGTTCCACTTCCAGCTTCCAGGTTCCAGCCTTGGGTTCTGGCTCCGACTTCCCTCAGTTATGGACTATACTCTTTAAGTCAAATAAACCCTTTCCTTCCCAAGTTGCTTTAGGTCATTGTTTTACCACAGAAGCAGGAAGCAAACTTGGACAGGGAAGTTGAAAATTATTTGTATTTAAACAAACATCATATTACATATGAAATCAAATTAAACATACAGATGGAAAATACTGCTCAGAAATGATTTCCAGGAAAGATTAAAGTTCTTTCATGAATTGGCTTGCTTTTTCTTCATGGGCATTGAGAATCCTGACATTCTGTTTCTTTCTGCATTTTGGCTCTCATAGAGTTCAGAACTTAATATGCAACTCAATTATCTTAACCATGTGGGAATATAACAACTTGCATATCTCTAAAATTTTCTTGATCTTCAAAATCTATTCTAGTTTTCATTCGTCCTGGCCTGAGATAGTATAAACTATATATATATATCTTTTTTTTTTTTACCTTAATTGACTCATAGTAATTGTACATTGTCATGGAACCTGGACTTTTCAAAACATTGCCTGTATTTTTACCTGTTAACTTTCTGTGTGTATTTCTCTAAGCCATTACAAATGTTTTATGGAAAATGGATGAGTTAACACCCATGCTTCATGGAGAAAAGCTGCTCACTTCTTGTGTAACTGCTCCTTTCTCTTCTTGTGAAGGCCAAATGTTTGCAAAGAGGAGCAGCTGACGGTGATAGGCCTGTCACGCCCATGCACCCGAGCGTTCGTAGACTCCGTCAAGTTCTGGAAACAAGGCTGTACAGGCCCACGGGGGTGTGTGGCTTATGAAAGAAGGTAAGGTGATGTCCTAACCCTGTAACTATTAGAACTCAAAACTAGACGCTTCATCTATTCCTAAATACTTTATCCTGTGAACTGTAGCAAATGGTTGGATAATTAAGTAAAGGGGCAAAGGTACACTTACAAAGAACAGTCACAATTACACGATTTCCTTCAGCAATGGCATGGACACTTACTTTCTGTTAGACCTCGCTTATGTGTGAACTATTTTTGGTTATAGATACTAATTTTACCTCAGGATATGATACTCCATTGAAAGCTAAAGATCAGAAACATGACAGAAACAAGGGATATTGTGTTGGTTTGCTAAATTTAGCTCGACTTGATGCAGGGTTTCTGCAGCTATGAACCAGCATCTGACCTGGCCTTGTCACTCTGGGACACTTTGAAACATACAGACTCTTTAACTTTATTATGGACTTTGAATTAGGATCAACCCAGCAGGCTGTGGGGAGAGAGAAAAGCAAGTGTCCACAATGCTTTCCAAGGGTCCAGGCTTCATGTAGACTTCATTTTTTTCCCCAAAGTTTTAAAATAGTTTCACAAAACATCTAAGAACCTCTTGATGCGAATGTTTGCTAATGGGTTGGATTTTATGAAAATGAATCAAATGTGTCTAAATTATGATAAATCTTAACAATAAAGATTTTATTTGTTTATTGTGTGGTTTTAGGTTAATGAATTCGTTAATACTACTGTCAGCAGTGAAAAGTTAGGGTGTTTATAAGTAAGTAGCCTTGCCATTGTACAACTCTGGTAACAGTTATAATACAAGGCTAAATAGTTTATAACTGTAAATATGGGCACCTACTATATGTGTGTACATATGCACATACATGTGTATTTATCCTGTAGATAAGTACTCTTTGGGTGGTGCTATTTTAAATTAAGGATATTTAAATGACGGTTAAGTCAGAAAAATTTCCCTAATTATTATTTACTTTGTGGCCTTAAGTTAAATTCAATATTTCTCTGTACTTTAGTATGTAAAGTTGAGAAAAATGGCATACATGGATAGCATGAAGAGTACTGAAAACATAGTTTACCCATGCAACATAACGCTGATATCCTAAAGGTACTCAATACATGTGTTAATACAAACCAGTAGCAATGATATGCCAAAACATTAGGCAGGAGACATGCCTCTCTATATACGTATGATTTAGTAATTAGAGGGATGTATATGTGTGTGTGTGTCTGTGTATGTACACACGCTTGTAGTGTATATGATTTATTGATTAGAGGAGTGTGTGTGTAGATATGCTTGTAGTATATATGATTTATTGATTAGAGGAGTGTGTGTGTGTGTGTGTGTGTGTGTGTGTGTGTGTGTGTGTTTGCGTGTGTGTGCATGCCCATGTGAGCATCCGCCCATCTGCACGCACATGCCATGGCACACATGTGGTGGTCAGAGGGTAGCCTCGGATGTTGGTTCTCACCTTCCATGTTGTTTGAGACAAGGTCTCTCTTGTTCATGGCTGACTTAGCTGACCAGTGATATTTTAGGAGTTCTCCTGTTTCTGCCTCCTATCTACTCCCTAGGAGTGCTGTGGTTATGGACACTGTACTACTGAGTCCATTCTTTATGTGTATTCTAGAGATTGAACTGGGGTCACTGGCTTAGAGGGGAAACCCTTTACCAGTTAAGGAATTTCTCCAGTTCTACATATTGTTTTTGAAAATGGTTTTTCATTTAAATTTTCTGTATTAACTCAATGTGGTTTAATATTTTGTAAATAGTGATTTGAGCCAAAGAAAATCCTCAGCTGTGTAGATGCTTTGAATTGGGAAAGACAAACATGAATATGTATCACAGGCCTCACATGTTTATCCTTAAGAGCTTGCTAGTTGAACAATTCTGTCTGTGGCACTGATTTGGAGGGTGGCAATGTAAGAAAATAATTGGTGTCTTGCCAAACATACCCCCCTTTTTTGTTTGTATATACATCTAGTCATATCCTAATTGGGAAGATATGCACAGAAATACTAGGCTTTTTTTCAAGATGTTGAATAATTAAATGCCATAAACAATGCTGAAGCCAGTAAACTCTGTAGCAATAAAGAGAGCTGATGTAGAGAGACTTTGGAGGAAGTGGAAAGAGAAATCGGCCTTGAATAATGAAGGGTTTGGGCTAGGACATGGGCAAGGTACATGAAGGGGAGTGAATGAGCTAGAACTTCAGGGATAAGGCATATATGGAACTTTGATTTGATAGAAAGGAAATCAGCATGATTAGAGATGTTTGGTACCACAGTGAGCTGACAGTTCCACACTGGCAGACTGTTCCTCTCACACTAACAGGCCTTTGGGACTGTCCCTACTGTAATTGCTTCATCCTAAAGGAACTTTTGACATTGCATTTATACTTTAAATAAAGATTTTATTCTTATTTTTAATTGTGTGTGTGTGTGTGTGTGTGTGTGTGTGTGTGTGTGTGTGTGTGTGTGTGTGTGTATGTATGTATGTGAATGCTGTGTCTTCAGAGGCCAGAGAGAGTGTCAGATTCCTTGGAGCTGGAGTTACAGGCAGTTGTAAGCTGCTGGAAATCTTCTGCAGGAGCTGTCTCTCAGCCCACATATATCTTTCTTAAACTTCCTCAACCCACACCTAAACCTTATTTGATTGCATGTGTGATGTAGTAGTTATGCATGATATACGAAGTGTATAACCATAGCTATCCATCCCCTCTGTTGTTTATTTCCCAGTATATGTGGCAGGATTTGAACTGGAGGGAGACATTTTTTATAATTGTGAAATGACAATTTTGTCATCAGAGGAATGATACATTTTCCTGATTCCTATCCTGTGTTCCATAGGACCCGCTACTACACTGTCTACAGGCAGGTGTATACCACAGAACACCAGACTGTCTTCAGGTGCTGCCCTGGTTGGAGCCGATGGGATGATGAACCAGGCTGTCTCTCCTGTAAGTTGTAATTCTTCCGGCCAAGTTCTGTTGTTAGGAATTTGCTTTTGCTTCCATTTCAGTGTCTTAAGAAGCACCATAGCTTCAGAGCTTTGCTTGAAACCAGTGGTTCTCAACCTTCCTGATGCTGTGGCCCTTTAATACAGTTCCTCATGTGGTGGTGACCCCAACCACACAATTACCTTCGTTACTACTTCATAACTGTAATTTTGCTACTGTTATGAAATGTAATATAAGTATCTGTGTTTTCTGGTCATCTTAGGTGACCCCTGTGAGGGGTTGTGACCCACAGGTTGAGAGCCACTGCTCAAGACTAATGACTCATGCATAACGTGGGAAAATGCATGTAAAAAGCCTTTCTGTTAATCATTTCGATGATAGGTTGCAGCTGAGGACCCATGAAAGCTGCTGTATGCTCTGTCTATGTGGAGGACAGTCGATTTAAAGGCACCAGGCTTTCCTTGACGTCCATCCCACTGCTCCGTTTGCCCCTTTCCTGCATCATCAAATTTGTAATCCACAGCTGATTCAAAAGTCCAGAGGGAAATCACTGTTCTAAATCTAGATGGGATTTCTCAACTTGGGCTTGTCATGATTAATTGCAGAGCTCTGGAGGCAGCTTCCTATTTCAGATGAGGTCTGCACTCTGTTCACAAACCTCTGGTGATGGGATTCCAGAACCTTCCGAGTCTGGTGTTTGGCAACCCTCTCACCAGGCTGTGAGAGATGACTCCGTTTAGTGAGCCCCTTTTCCTGCATTATGTGCCTATGGCGACTGTGAAGTCCCTCAGAGTCTAATCAATGCAGCACCATAGCACAGCACATCTCTCCCGCCTCTGTGTACCTTAGGGAGTTTGCCAGCATCCTGCCTCCTTTCTGCTCTTGAAATATATTAGGGAAGTTTTGTTGTAGGCTTCCTACATTAAGCAGGTACAGTGTCAAGTGCTGTGGGAAGACTGTGTTTACAGTCAGGCTACTGTGGCTGATTGGTTTAAGATCATGGAAAAGATCTGCCCACAATACCATTAGAACTATGTTATAAAGTCCAGGAAACTGACAGCTTTAAGTATTTATATTTATTGTTTAACAACTACCTGAGTTCTTTGCCTCTGGTTATATATTAGCATTTTGTTTGACTTTGTTGTTGTTGTAAAGACCGCTTTGACCACACAGTCACTTTCTCCATGCATATTCTTTATGCCAATACTTCTTCCCTCTCGATGTGAATACAACTAATCTGGTGTCTTGTTAAAGGGTAGATTTGTATTAACTAGGTCTAGAGGGGTTCTCAGAATTTGTGTTTCTGCAAAGTTTACAGGAATGCTCTTACAGATAATTCTGTAAGGCTTCAAATAGTCAGCCATTGTCTAGCAATGGCAATTTTCTATAACCTTCCTGTAGAGGGGCCAGTGGAAATTTCTAGATCATGTTATAGTACCTGCAAGATGCCTACTTACACTGATGATTTCCTTTCTTTCTCTCGGCTCCACCTATCCTTCCTTTGAACATACATTTTAGCTGTGTCTTCTCTGGGAACCCATTTCAGTGGAAGGCAGTGCTCAGATGGTGGTGATCATCGGTGCCTCTGCTCACAAGGGTTTCATGGACCCCACTGTCAATATGGTAAGTCACCAACCGGACCATTCTGTTACAATTTGGCACTGTCTGCCAGTTGTGTCCTGGTAGACTTATGGCGGGCTACCTCTCTGGGAATTGGTGAACACTGAAAATGAGTCACTAAGCAGAAATCCAGAACCATAGTGTAATAAACATCATAAAATATGCTTTGTGGTTTAGTTGTAAATCTCCACTGTAGAAGTTCAAAGGTCATTGCAAGAACAAGATGCTCTACTTTGTAAAGAAAGCATCAGATGTTAAGTCTCTCAAGGAGGATGGCGTGAAACTACCGCTATGGTATGGTATTCTGTGCGATCTCTGGGCTCCATAAATGAGCAGAATACAATCATCATGAACGTAATGTTAAGCAGTATTGACTAATCTTATACCTATTATCTTAAAAAAAATTGCAAAACCTGGAAGTCAAGACTTGAGTGACTCTCAAAGCGTCAACACTCACTGGACATGTATATATAAGATTTTCATGTGTGAGGAGTTTTCAAATGACCAATGATTTATCCTTGACTGCAGAATGAAACTTCACTTAAAGCAATTGGTATGTGTGCCTTCTTGTGTCTACTGCTTGGCTTCTTAAAAGTGCATCTGTGAAATTTCTGAGGTCCCGGCACTCATGTGTTTTTTTCTCTTCCACACTTGTGGTTAAGGACAGTGCTCCCATCTCCCATGGGTCCCTTCAGAGATGTTCTTGTAAATGAATTCCCAAATTCTTTTCTAAGTTGCCTTTTAAAAATATATGAATTAAGATAAAGCTGATGTTCAGTGATCTCACACTTGGACCACAGGACTGATTTGGAGACAGGGATCGGTGGAGGCTTTGGAGCTCCAGCATGTATCTTTACTATTTCCCAATGTTTTAGAAAAACAACAACAACAAAAAATTCACACATGGATCCATTCTTTGACTTTAAATAAAGTAAAAGTTTTCAACTAAATTGGAACTAAAGGTTTCCTTATTTTGACCCATAATTTTGGTGGGGAATTACAGATGTTATTAGTTCATCAAGAGTTTTTCTTTAAAAACCATAATTAGGCTGGGCGGTGGTGGCGCACGCCTTTAATCCCAGCACTCGGGAGGCAGAGCCAGGCGGATCTCCGTGAGTTCGAGGCCAGCCTGGGCTACCAAGTGAGCTCCAGGAAAGGCGCAAAGCTACGCAGAGAAACCCTGTCTCGAAAAACCAAAAAAAAAAAAAAAAAAAAAACCATAATTAGTTATTAATTTATAAATGCATTGTTTTGCGGAGCAAATCTTGCAGGACATCAGATCCCAGAGGACAAAGATAACAAAAGAGAATGTGGTAAAGATATAATGTCCCAGTTATACCTGGACTAATTTATTCTTTATCTTTTACACCAGTACTTGAATATTTTGATTATTCTAACTTACCAGCTGCCATACACCAAAGTAATTACGGTGCTCTCTGAAATTCAAGCAGTCAAAATTTTCATTTTTGTAGTTTTGGCTTGGTGAAAATACTGGATAATTTCAAACATAGGAAGAAAGATTGTCTTTTGCACAAGCTTGTCTGTGCACCATGACGTCTCCAGAGCCAGGGGATAAAACATCAACACAGAAAATTCCTGTCAGGAGTCCCTGCTGCTCCCAACAGCACCACTGTCCGGACTACTTCCCTTACACGCTAACACTGTTCCTCTCCTGCTGTAGGACTCTTGGTGAATTTTAAAAGGAATCAACAAACCCTGAGGGGCTAGGTCCCACAGAGTGGATGTTTAGACTTCTGCATGGGCTGTATTTCCCCCATCAAAATGAGGCACTCCTAACTGTATAAACTAAGGTGGTTTTCATGGAGAAATTTTGAAGACTTTCTAGGAAATCAAGCAGTTGAGGAACAGGTGGAGAACCCCATTGAGAAGAAATAACACTAGCTGAGTTTTAAAAGATGAGAAGCTCAAATTGACAAAAGCTCTTTGTAAAATGTAGCGAACAGGACAAAGCCCACTAGGCAGGCTGATTATAGCCTGGAGAGGCAGGCTCATCCCTAATGCTTCTCTAGGGGCTGGAGTTCTTATGTGTGGCATCTGCCCCCCTGTTGCTGGAAGTTTTCCTGGTCCCGCCCAACTCTCATGGCCCCATGGTCCTGAAGCTGCTCAGACCCAAATTAACACACTTAGGCTTATATTATTTTTAAACTATGGCCATGGCAGACTTCTTGCTAGCTAACTCTTATATCTTAAGTTAATCCATTTCTATAAATCTGTATTTTGCCATGTGGCTTGTGGCTTACCAGTATCTTTACATCTTGCTCCTGCTGGCGGTGGCTAGCAGTGTCTCCCTGCTCTGTCCTCTTCCTTCCTCTCCCTCTCCAGTTAGAATGTCCCACCTATCCCTATTCTGCCTCATCATTGGCCAAACAGCTTGATTTATCAACCAATCAGAACAACACTTATTCACAGCATACAGAACGACATCCCCATCACCCCCACATATATATGCATATATGTTACAGTAAAATAATTTTAATGTTGTATTTGAAATTATATATAAGAAATCACTCAGATGTTGAAACATTGAAAACATTCCAATTATTACAAAGCCCCAGTCAATGTAATACAGCAAACTAAAACTATAAAGAACTGCTGCTGCCTGCAGATAACCATGATGGGCATCCCCATACACATTTATGTTCACACAGATATGAAAATGTATACATGTGGGATCATATTACACACAGGATCTTAGTGAAGGCCCTTCTGGTTTTCCCATCTCTTCTTTCTTCCCATCTAACGTGTTCTCCTTCATTGTCTGCTGTTGAACCCTTATTGTGTCTTTTCCTGGGCTTCCTGACTCGCACACAGCCAGCTGTGTCTAGTACATCAGTATACCACACAATTTTGAGTAAGTATTGGGTGATAAACACTTGTTCCAAATTTTATCCTAGTTTTTGGTACAATAATCAGGCTTGTGATAATATTGTGCTTTACATTTTGTGAAGAATGTCCCAGCTGTGGGATTGTTGGGGTCAATGACTATGTTCAGTTAAAATTTTTGTATACTTGAGGATCAGTGTGTGTGTGTGTGTGTGTGTGTGTGTGTGTGTGTGTGTGTGTGTGTTTGTGGGTTAAAATTGTGATAAGTCTTATTTATTTATTTTTGACATTGACTTTTAAGAGAATCCTCACATCTTCACTCAGAATCAAAGATGTGATGCCTATCTCAGATCATTAGGGTCACTGTAAAATGAGTTTGTAGCCTGGAGTGAAGTTGGTGTTATCAATGTGTATGGGAAGAGAGAACTCTGAAAATAAGCCACTTGGCCTTTATAAAATGGAGAAAAGACTGTAGTCCTAGCGAGAGTGGGAACATGCTAATAAGTGAGAACAACACTTGAAGTTAATAATGATTCTAAAATTGCTGATCTACTTAACTCATTTGAAAAAAATCTGGCTCTCATAAAGCAAATGAAGAAAATGAATTTGGACAATTAGGAAGCAATGAAGAGCTTTCTGAAATAACTATTGATTAAAGAAATCAAAAGGAATACTTTGAAGATTTGAACACATGCAAATCAAACTAGATCCTGGTAGTGAAGTTTACTCTCTTTGAAATTTTATGGCTTCAGAGAGAACTGGGAGTTACAGGAACTGAGTAATTTCACACACAAAGTCACACCTCATTTCCACATCACTACCCTCTTCCTTTTCTCTGGGTCAGAAGTCAAGCAAAATGATAATGTGACTAACATAGGCTTCTAAGTGTCCTTATTTTCTATGCATATATTTCTTTATTCACTCTGTCTGTCAATCAGCCTTCTATCAAGTCTCCCACTTAGTAAATATTTATATAACAGACTGTGCACTAGATATTTCAGAGGAGAAAACAAATGGTTTAGTTTTAGTCTGGTGGGAAATAGAGAGCAGAAAACCTATGACTATTATGCAGCTCACCATTGCCATGACGGAGGATGGTTCTGTCCTAAGAGAAAGAGGCGGCTGTTCATCTATGTCATACCAGAAGGAGAGGAAAGGTTTCTCAAAAATGCTTGTAAGTACAAAATACAACCAGTTCTTAAAGATAAACAGAATAATCATATGAGATTTGGTAGAGATATTAGTATGTTTTCCACAGACATAAGAAGCATAAGCCACAGTTCTCTTGGCTACAGAAAGTGGTGCACAAGAAGCAGCCAAATCAGGCCACTAACTTACAGCCAAACCTGGTGTGTTCGGACTTTAAATACAGAGAACTAACCGATGAAATTCTTCATAATTCTATAATTCTATTGCCAAATTCAGTTTCTGAACAATACAGTCCTGTGGTTGAGGATTGGTTGATTTATTGATTGATTCCTGCCCCCCCCCCCCGCATGTAGTATGTATGTTAATGTACATGCATGTGAACATATGGAGGCCAGAAGAGGGCGTCTGGATATCTTCTTTCTTCTTTTACTTCCATGAGGCAGGATCTCTTCCTGGACCTGGTGCCTCCCTTTTCTCAGCTAGACTTGAACCTGGTAAGTCCCAGCACTCCTGTATCGACCCTTTCAGAACTGGGTTTATAGCTTGTATGGGAGGCCTGGATTTTTCCTCAGGTCTGAAATCCCAATTCCCATTCTCGGGATTCTGCAGTTAGGACTCTTAACTGCTGGGCCGTCTTCCCAGTCCAAGTTGGGGTGTCTTGAACATGCAGCATCACTGGTTGTTTCTCCATTTCCGGTACTTACAGAAGAAGTCACAGATTTTTTTTTTTTGCCATCTTTAAATGTGGTGTTTAGATATATTAAACATAAGAAGTTTTTGGAATGATGTCTGGGAAGTTCTCAGGCAGTTTGAGGCTGAGGCTGGGCCTCATTGTTGACTAGCTGTTACTGTCTTGGAGAAGGTGTTTACATTTCCAACCTCACAGCATTATCATTTTTAAAGAGAAAAATAAAAACTTCAACTTTCCTGAGTTCCAACAGTGTTCCCACAGTATTTTCAGAATTTTATATATACATTAAATTACCAGTGATGTAAAGGTTATGGAATAA